CAAAAAGATTATTTAAAGCACTTATACAAATCAGTAAGAATTCCAAAATCCACCCTAGCCAGTTTGGCTCAGTGGATAGAACATCAGCATGTGAACTGAAGGACCCAGAGTTTAATTCTGGTCAAGGGCATGTGCCCAGGTTGTGGGCTCGATCCCCAGTGAGGGGCTTGCAGGAGGCAGCCGATCAGTGATTCTCTCTCATCATTGATGTTTCTATCTCTGTCCCTCTCGCTTCCTCTCTGAAATCAGTAAAAATATGTTTTAAAAAAATTCCAAAATCCACAGGGAAAAAAGGTCAAAGTAGGCAAGCAGGAAATTCACAGGAGAGGGTTGCTTAGTGGCCAATAAACTGAAAATTTGTTCATTATCATTTGAATCAGAAAAATGAAAATGAGCCCTAGCCAGTTTGGAATAAAGCAAAGATTTGGTGAGAACATCAGTAGATAGAATGACAGCCTACAGACTGTAGGGTCCCAGGTTCGATTCTGGTCAAGGGCATGGATCTTGGTTACAGGCTCAATCCCAGTGCAAGAGGTGGCCAATCGATGTCTCTCTCACTTAGCTATTTTTCTCTCTGTCTCTCCCTATCTCTTCCACTTTCTAAAAATCAGTGGAAAAATATCCTCAGTGAGGATTTACACACACAAAAAAATGAAACCATCAAAATTCCATGTCATACTCGTTAGTTTGGCAAAATGCTAACTTTTATCATACCAACTGAGGGTGAGGTAACTAAAATCACTATTGAAAAAATAACTATAACCCTTAATAGCTATAGCACTTTGACAATGCCTAATAAAGTTAACCTCTATACAGTGGGGCCTTGACTTACGAGTTTAATTCGTTCTGTGACGAAGCTCATAACTCAAATTACTTGCATGTCAAATCTTAAAGTGAACGAGTGAGACACGTGATGCTGGGCTGATGTTGTGGCGTTCACTGTGACGTTCGCTGCACCAACTAGCGGTGGGGTATCTGAAGCTGGCTTGTAACCCGAATTTTAGCTCGCAACTCAAAGCAAAAAAATCGGCTGAGAGACAGCTCGTATCTCAAAAAACTCGTTAGTCGGGACACTTGTAAGTCAAGGCCCCACTTTACTTCTCTATCTGGCAATTGTACTTCTGGATTTGTATCATAGAGGTCTTTCATGCATATGCATAAGAGGGCTTTTTAAAAGAATGGTCATCATTATAACCTATAATAATAATAATAGCGTAATATGCTAATTAGACCGAATGTCCTTCTGGACAAAGCTAAGGGGGCCGAGGCAGAAGCAGCTGCTGCAGCAGCAAAGGCCATGGCAGTGGGGCCAAGCCCCATGCACGAATTTCATGCATTGGGCCTCTAGTCCTATATAATAAAAGCCTAATATGCTAAGTGTCCAGTTATCCATTCAACCAATCAAAGCATAATATGGTAATGATATGCTAAGACTGCTCAACCGCTCACTATGACATGCACTGACCAATAGGGGGAAGATGCTCAGACCAGTAGGTTAGCTTGCTGCTGGGGTCCGGCCTATTGGGACTGAGCAAGACAGGCCAGACATACACTTGAGCCCTCCCACGGTCCCTCCCCGGCTGGCCAACCTCCCGTGTCCCTCCCCTGCCCTGATCATGCACCTACAGGGTCCTTTGGGCTGGCCTGTGCCCTCTTGCAGTCCAGGCTGAGGGGAACACACACACACACACACACACACACACGTGCACAAATTTCATGCACTGGGCCTCTACTATTGTTATAAATTACAAAAAAAAAAATTGCAGTTGACTAGAAAAGGATTATTAAGTTGAGAAATACTGTATTAAAGTTAAGGTGGAAATGTTAAGCTTTGACGGTTTGGTAGATGCATGGGTAATTCATTAGTGTAGTTATATATTTCTTTAATCTTGAAGCCATTCTCTTTTTAAAAACAAACCAAAACAATTTTTAAAGTTGACAGCAAAATGCCATTGATTAATTAAAGCAAATACTCTAAGTTTATAAATAAAAGTAATGTAGGAACAGAAACACAAGTCAAATGGAATAAGGAAGACACTGTTTGCAGAATCATGTCACACTGATAGCAATGGAAGACATGGGGCCTATCCCTTAGGGAAGAAAACAAGATCTCTCCTGGCTTCTCCCTTCCGTTTTTGTGTCTGAAATTGTTCTTCATCCCTTTGCTTTTCTCTTTCTCGTGACCTTCCGATTCCCTACTGGCATCGAGTGCCCCATGGACATGGCTATGAGCCAAAAAAAAAAATCATACCTGCCTCCCAGTTCTATGCCATTTCTAGCTGGCATTTTTTCCGTGTTCCCAGCCAGACTTGGTAGAGGTCAGCTGCCAGTGTGGGGATTGGTTGAAGAGCAAAGACAATGGATGTGCATGGTTGCCTTTGTAAACCTTAAGAACTTGTAGATGCATATAAAATCCTGTACGTGTTTGATTTGAGGGTCTGGCCCTGAAAATATATCTTACTTTTTTTGTTTTTTAATATGTTTTTTTAGATTTTTAAAAAGAGAAAGGGACAGGGGAGAGAAACATCAATGAGAGAGAACCATCAATCGGCTGCCCCGTATATACCTCCTATTGGGCATGTGCCCTGACTGGGAATTGAACTGGGCATGGCCAGGGGGAAGGGGGGCGTGGAGGGGTGTCGCTGGACCGGCAGTGGGGGGTCAGTTGGGAACAATCAGGCAGGCGGGGGGGGAGGGGGCAGTTACAGCTGATCAGCCAGGCAGGCAGGTGAGTGGTTAGGAGCTCGGTGCATGGGACAGCGCTCAACCAACTGAGCCACACCAAGCCAGCACTGTATGTTGCTTTTTAGAGAGGAAAAAGAAAAGACCTCTGGTAGTGACAAGGATAATCCCTCATTTGGTCTTCTATTTTTTTTCTTTTTCTTCTAATTTCATTATTCTTCAGCCTTGCTCTTTTCCCGTTCCACATTCAAGTGCTTGCCTTACCACCCTCATCACTCAACTTGAACTCAGTATGACTAAGATGAAACAGTCTCACTTGTTTTTATTATTCATAAAGTATTCCATGTATAGAATCATCCTAATTACCAAAAAGAAACTGGCAAAGGAAGCACAGGTGACTTCAATGATACTACTTTGTGATCTTTATTTCTTCCTTCTCCACAATGATAAGGATAGTTAGTCAACTTCTTAAGTAGAGAGTACTTACTTAACTCACTTGTACCATGATGCTTTGTGTCCATTGTAGACCGAGCTAAGAGGAGAAAGCTCAGGGAAGAAAGGGCATGGCTGCTGGCTCAAGGCAAGGAGCTCCCCCCAGAGCTTTCCCACCTGGACCCTAATTCCCCCATGAGGGAAGAAAAAAAGACTAAAGACCTGTGAGTATTTAATGGTACTAACAGTAGCAACCTGTAACATTTGTTAAGCACTTGGGCATTGTGCTAAGTACTCTCTTATTTAATCCTTAAAACAAGACTCTGTGTTAGGTAATATTCCATCTTCATGAGCTTCTCATTCTATTTTATGCTTTTTGGGGTTATTCTTTATATCATAAATATTCATTAGAGTAAAATAAGACCTGGGAAATACTGTGCTATTACATAACTAACATAATGATAATAAAGTTTTGTGTCATCTGTGCTAACCCTCATCTTCATAATTATTTTCTGGAGTGTTACCACTGTTACAAACTTATTATTAATAAAAATTATTGGATCTATTCCAAAACTTGGTGCAACCAACTATGTCTGTGTTTGAATTAAGAGAGTTAGAGATTAAAGTTACTATTAATTTTTTATTTATGATTTACAGCTTTGAGTTGGATGATGATTTCACTGCTATGTATAAAGGTCAGTTCCATTCTTAACTATTGTGTTTTTTATAAAAGTACTCCTATGTGAGTGTATTAAGCTCTCTTCTTTGGCTCTCAGTTCTAGATGTGGTAAAGGCTCACAAGGATTCCTGGCCCTTTTTAGAACCTGTGGATGAATCTTATGCCCCAAACTATTATCAGATTATTAAGGTAGCTAAACCTACTATACAGTTACACCTATTGTGATGTTTGTTTTGCTCTTGCTCTTTGTTGTTGTGTTTTGCTTGAGTTTGTTTATTGTTCCTTGAGGGTCCGGGTTGCTGATTGTATACCAGGCTGTTGAGCAACTCAGAACAGCATGATTCCTTTGCCTCATATGGGTTATGAGATGTTTTCTCCAGCATATTGTAATTAAATGTGTCCTGTTTTAGGTACCAATGGATATTTCAAGCATGGAGAAGAAACTAAATGGGGGTTTATATTGTACCAAGGAGGAATTTGTAAATGACATGAAGACAATGTTCAGGAATTGTCGAAAATATAATGGGGAAAGTAGTGGTAAGTGGAGCAGGGGTTTGCTCTGGATGCACAGTAGCTGAACTGTTGTAACCAAGAATAAAATGCCTTTTAGAAATATACATCTGGCCCTACCTGGTTTGGCTCAGTGGATAGAGTGTCAGCCTGCGGATTGAAGGGTCCCAGGTTCAATTCCAGTCAAGGGCACATTCCTGGGTTGCGGGCTCGATCCCCAGCAGGGTGTGTGCGGGAGTCAACCGATCAATGATTTTTCTCTTATCATTGATATTTCTATCTCTCCTTTCCTCTCTGAAATCAATAAAAATATATTTTAGAAAAAGAGAGAGAGAGAATAAACCTCATCTACACACACACACACACACACACACACACACACACTGGTGATTTAGACCTTTCCTTAGGACTATTAAAAGAATGTGTATTAAAAGCCTTGGGATTGGCCATTCTAACCACTTAAACAGTATGTGTCAGGAATTCTCTCCTATCTCACACAATAGGAGAGTGTAGCTGGTGGCAACTAGGCTCAGGTTATTTCTCATTCTTCTACAGGCCAGTTTAGGTCCAGTTTGTACTGTGCCTCCTTAACACAGTGTACCACTGATGATAACTCTACCTAGATAGAGCTGATTCTTAAATCATCTTGGGAAGCATACTTGATTAGCTGTCTATGGGTATATATGAGTTAGGTATGGGAACTTGGAGTAATTTATGCAGTGGCTCAGAGTGCCTTAGTTTAAAACCTAAACAGATTCAGTGATTATATTTAATATTTTTACTGGCTTAGTGTAATGGTTCTAGAGTCACTGTTAGCCATGCAGCCTAGAGCCTCGTAGGACAGAAACTCAGTTTGCCCCAATAGCATCTTTTGTTTATCGTAGGACAGTTGTCTTTGTTGCCTATAAAAACTGTAGCTGGAGGGCAATTCTTGTGTCTTCCTATAGAGTATACCAAAATGTCGGATAATTTAGAGAGGTGTTTCCATCGGGCAATGATGAAGCATTTTCCCGGCGAAGATGGAGACACAGATGAAGAATTTTGGATCAGAGAGGATGAAAAGCGGGAGAAGAGACGGAGTCGGGCTGGGCGAAGTGGTGGAAGCCACATTTGCACCCGCTCCAGGGACTCCGAAGGGCCCAGCAGGAAACAGCAGCCTGTGGAGAATGGAGGAAAATCATTGCCACCTGCACACAGAGCTTTCTCCTCTGAGGCTGGTCAGAGCGGCAGCTCTACACAGCTCCCTCAGGAGGTGGGCACACCAAGTAACCAAGGCCTTCCTCGTCCCCTGCATTATGGTGGGATGCCCAACCAGGCACCCCTTTTAAACCAGCTGGTAAGAAATAGAAATTCTGCTGAGGTTTCTCCTAGTTGGTGAATTCAGAGGAAAGTAAAGCCTTTTCAAATGGCTCCTCTTCTGTGATAATTTTGCTGTATATGGATGCTTTTTTCTCCCCTCATCTGTCCTTCCTTTATTCTTCCTTTATTTTAAATCCTGTCTCTTAATCATTTGAACCACACATTATATCAACATGGGGGGGAAATTGAATAAAAATATCTCAAGTCTTATTATGTATAAAGCACAGAGGTACAGCCCCAGCCCTGTACACCAAATAAAGGTCTTGGGTTCAATCCCCAGTCAGGGCACATACCTGGTAGGTTGTGAGTTTGATCCTTAGGGTATATACAGGAGGCAACCAATCAATGTTTCTCCCCCTCCCTCTCCTTCTCTGAAATCAACAAATATATCCTCAGGTGAGGATTTACTAAAAAAAAAAACAAACAAAAAAAAAAACAAAAAATACAATACTTAGGGTATACAGCCTATCTTTGATATTAAAATTTCATTATGGGGGACAATTTGGGTGGGATATTAGCTAAAAAGGCTCCTGGCAGTGCAGGGGCAATAATGAAAAAGATAAACACAAGTTTGTCTCGCCTAGAGAGGGAAAGTGCTATGGGCTCTGGAGCTCGTCCTGCTCTGGGTGAGCCCATGTGCCACCATTCTTCCCTTCCTTGGTTCTCTGTGGTGGGTCTATTATGTTCATCTTCAGGAAAGTCCTTATTTTCTTTCTAATGTTTATGCTTTCTTTCCCCATCCCCACTCCTTGCCTTTACTCAATACCCTCCAGAGGCCAGCAGTACCTGGAACATTTGGCCATCTTCGAGGGTCAGGTCCTGCTAATGTATATGTCTCCTCAAGAGTCCCAGAACCACACCCCGGGGAGCCTGCGCAGCAGCATCCACCTTTTGCCTTGCAGGTAAGCAACCTGCTCATGACCTGGAGGTATAGAGTCTCCAAGGTAACTTCTAGAAATGCAGTGTCTAACCAGGTTAAATTTATTATCATCTCCTATTCTATAGAGTCTATAGATGAAGCACATTACAAAGGATACCTGATTCTATGGGTCTGGTGAATGCCACTATCTTCTCTTTTCTTGTTACCAGCCTCCAGTTGGAATTAACAAGCATCGAGGACCCAGGCTGGGCATGCCCGAAGAGAAGCAAATGTGTGGGGGGTTAAGGCACCTTTCTAACATGGGATCACATCCTGGTTCCTTGCCTCTTGGGCAAATGAGTGGCCCCAGTCAGGATAGAAATATGTATCCCCCAACTCAATTCCAGCCAGGATTTATTCCTCCCAGGCCTGGAGGGATTCCAGCCCGACCCCCAGACTTTCCTGAAAGCTCAGAAATTCCTCCCAGCCACATGTACCGATCATACAAATACCTGAATCGAGTACACCCTGCTGTCTGGAATGGGAACCACAGTACAGCAAACCCAAGACTCTTAGGGCCAGATGAAAAGCCCCTCATGGGGCCAGGACCGTCCCACCTGCCTCACACTCTTGGTCACATGATGGATTTCCGAGTGATGAGACCACCTCTTCCTCCAAACCAGTGGACTGAACAATCAAGCTTTCTACCTCATGGCATTCCTTCTTCAGGGTACATGCGACCGCACTGTAAATCCGGTGGGCATCGGTTACAGCCACCTCTAGCACCCAGTCCCCTGTTTGGAGCACCCTCCCAGGTTCTGAGAGGGGTGCAAGGAGGGGACTCCATGATGGACAGCCCAGAGATGATCGCCATGCAGCAGCTTTCCTCACGTGTTTGCCTGCCCGGTGTGCCTTACCACCCCCGACAGCCTGCTCCCCCACATTTACCTGGCCCTTTTCCACAGGGAGCTCACTCAGCATCAGTTAGTGTGTCAGCCCCCAAGCCTGCCTTGGGGAACCCTGGGAGGACACAGGATAACAGTGAAATAGAAGAGCCTGAAAATGACCAAGGTAATTTAGTCACTTTTATTTGACTTCTGCCCCTATAAGCAGTTCATTCATGAATAATCCTTTTACACAATATCAAGCCAAATATAAACTGATTTTCAGCCTCTTTTTCTTGAACTACTCATGGTTGGGCCAATCGTGGTATTGTTTTTGATCCAAAGATCCAAAAGGATTACTGGCAATAGTGATCACTACATAGATGAATGCCAGGCACTCTTTTTGAGGCTTTTAGATATATTAACTCATTTAATTCTCAGAACAAGCCTTCCAGATAGCTACTATAATTAGTCTTGTTTTTACAGATGGAAAATCCAAGACACAAAGATAGTAGATGATTTGCTCTGATCTACCTAGTAAGTGGTGGAACTGAGACTCGAACCCAGACAGACTGGATCCAGCATCCACAGTTTTTTGTTGTTGTTGTTGTTGTTTAATGTATTTTTATTGATTTCAGAGAGGCAGGGGGAGGGAGAGATAGAAACATCAATGATGAAAGAAAATCATTGATTGGCTGCCCCTACTGGGGATCAAGCCCACAACCCGGGCATATGCCCTGATCAGAATCGAACCCTGGACCCTTCAGTCCACAGGGTGACGCTCTATCCACTGAGCCAAACAAGCTAGGGCTGCATCTGCATTTTTAATCATGACATCAGACTGCCTTTAAAATTTCTTGTCCTGAAAGTTTATCATTATGAAATAAGTTTTCAATATTTTACTTAAAGTCTAATTATTTCTATCCTTTTATTCCCTGGACACATACCAATATCTACTGAGAATGAAGACTAGTGAGATTTCCCCTGGCCAGAGTGGCTTAGCTGGTTGAGTATGTCTCATTCACCGAAAGGCCTTGTGGGGTTTGATACCCAGTCAGGGTATGTGGAGGAGGCAAACGATCAATGTTTCTCTCTCATATTGATGATTCTCTCTCTCCCTCTCCCTTCCTCTCTCTTTAAAATCAATTTTTAAAGTGTTTTTTTAATAAGGTATTTTCATTCATTCAATAAATATTGATTCCCGTTTTGTGCAAATACTGAGGGGTATGGTGGGGAACAAAATAAAGTCACTGTGGAGCTTATGCTCTGATAGGCCCAAGTTAGGGACTGGCCTCCTGTGAGCCATCATTCCCTGGTCTTTTCATTGTGTCAAGTTTTAGAGCTTCCCAGCCTGGTCTACAATTCTAGTAACAACCATACCCTCCTGCCGTATTCCGCATGCATCTAGTTGGGAGTCCATGAGCCATGAATCATCTCACACCGGTCTACTAATCTGTCGGTGACAACACAGGAAGAGGAAGGCAAGAACATCTCCATTATTTGGCAAACCTTTTGAGTAGCTGTAGAGTTGCTAGATCTTGCCTCCTGGTCTACGAAAGGGTCTTGCCTCCTGTGCAAGGGTCTCAACATTGTGACTCCTTTCAGGGACTCTCAAATTTTCTAGCTGAGGCTTAAATGACCACACATCCACCTCAACCCTGACTCCCCTTATCTGGCTGCTTATCATGTTCTTTTCATTATTACCTCCATTGGTATGGTCATTTCAGCTATTGAATTGTTCTCTTGTTCTCCATTTTCTTACAGCAGATCCCTTACCTGAGCTTGAGAAGCCACCAAGCGTTGGTGCCTCAGAGGGGGTATACCTCAAACAACTACCTCACACTACACCGCCCTTACCAACCAACTGTACCAGGCAGAGTTCGCCACAAGAAAGGGAAGCAGAGGGCCCAGAGCTCAAAAATGACTCCTCAGCATCTGAAAACAACTGTCAGGCAACAAAGGGCAAAAATACCTGGCCCTCGGAGAGTGGCTACATCAGTCCAGCAGCCCAGGGATGTATGAGGGACCTCTCCACTCTGGCAAATAGAGGAGCTCTGCCTGAAAATGGAGTGGTGGTTGAAGTACCCACTTGTGGATCAGAAGGGAAGGGCCTTGGTGGTAGTGGTACAGAAAAGCCACTCTGCCCCAGAGGTAAAACATTGCAGGAAACCATTTCGTGTTCAGGACAGAACCCAGCTACACCTCCCAATGCAGACCCCAATTTGATGGAAAGCACTGTCAGTCAGTTTTCTCCCTTGTACATGCCTGGCCTGGAATACCCAAATTCAGCTACACATTATCACATCAGTTCAGGCCTACAAGGTCTTGGCCCTGTGATAGAAAGTAAACCCTCAATATCACATGTTCAGCATTTTTCCCCGAGGGGCTTTCATTCTAACAGCCCTCATTCTGGAGTCTTTCCCCATTATCGCCCCCACCAAGGAATGAGATATTCCTACCAGCCACCACCTCAGCCTTCCTACCATCACTATCAGCGAACTCCTTATTACACATGTCCACAGGGCTTTTCTGATTGGCATAGACACAGGCCAGAGAGTCCCAAAGAATTTTTAGACCTGGACAACCATAATGCAGCTACCAAGCAACAGAGTTCATTATCAGCCAGCGAGTATCTTTATGGGACTCCGCCTTCACCTCTGAGTTCAGGGATGGGGTTTGGTTCATCTGCTTTCCCACCTCAGGGTGTGATGCTACAAACAAGGCCTTCCTATACACCTCACCAGCCGGCCAGTCATCTCCAGCCCAGGGCATATTCTTCCCCTGTGGCTGCTCACCCACCTCACCATCCAGTGGCTGCCCAGCCCAATGGCCTCTCTCAGGAGGGCCCCATCTACCACTGTCAGGAAGAGGGCCTGGGCCACTTTCAGACAATAATGATGGAACAAATAGACACTGGAAGTGGAATAAGGGGACCTTTTCAAGAAACATACAGACCATCAGGGTAAGACTGCATTTGATTTATTTTTTCCCTGAAAAAAAGGAGTGGATGATAGTTTTTAAAAGAAAAATGGCCTTAGGAATAAAGATAAACTTTAGTGGTCTTCTGGGACCAAGAGGAGCATGTGAATTGTTGATATGGAGACTTAATGGAAATGTATTAGCCATGAAGTTTGGTGTTTATCTTTGACATTTTTTCCCCCTCATGAAAATGAATTGGCATTTAAGTGACTGTTTAGTTACATTTTAATACTGGAAACATGATGGCCACATTTGTGAGCTGTAGGCCAGGGCTTTAGCGTTGTTTCTGAGTTCATATACTCTGACCAAGGCAAAATAGGTCCCTCAAACCCAGCAGGGCAACAGGACATCATATTCAGGTTTTAATCCTCCTATCAGTTACAGTTATGAGGCCTAATCATAAAACAAATGTTATCCAACTTAAAAGCCTACAGTCTCCTCCCCAACACCAACCTAAGGAAACCTTACCTCCAAACCCTCTCCTGCACTTACGTTTTGTCATATTTGTTTTCTACCTCTCTAAATATGTTTGTTTTATTTTTTATTTTTTGCCTTTTTCCCTAAACCATCCTAAAGTAAATTTTAGACACCGTGACCCTTTATCCCTAAGTACTTCCACATGTATATCCTAAAAATAAGGATCATTGTCCTGGACCACAATATCAAACTATTAATCACACCCAAGAAAAAGGATATTAATAGTATTTAACATAGAGTCCTAATTGCTCCAGTTGTTCCCAAAATGTCTTTTATAGCTATGTTTCTTTGTTTTGATTTTTTTACATTTAAGATCTAATCAATGTTTATGTATTTACACTTGGTTATAATGTCTGTTTAGTCTCTTTTACAGCATTCACCCTATCATTGTGTTGTTTTCTTTTGTGTTCAAAGAACCGTGGCCAGTTCTCATGTAGCGTCCCAAATTCTGAATTCTTACTGTTTGATTGTGTTTACAGTCCAGTTAAACACTAAATAAGTGGTCATGTACTTACTACATCATACCCTAGACTAGAGGCACATAATGCTAGTTTTGTCCCAGTATTGATGATTTCCAGTTTAATTACCTGGATAATTAAGGCAGTAGCTGCCCGAGATTTTCATGATTAAAGAATCTTTTTTCCTTCTATTCTTAACTGTTCCTCTCTCATGGCTATAGAATGCAAATGCATCCAGTCCAGGCACAGTCCTCTTTCCCAAAGACCCCAGCACCAGCAACATTGCAGGAAGAGCTGCCACCACATAAGCCCCCAACACTCTCTCTTGATCAGGTAAGAGGCACCAAAAATTAGAGCTTTCTTTATTCCTGCAGGTGGTAGGAGAGAAGTACATATCCCAATCCGCATTGGGAATCCACTGATGTGGAGAGCTGACTTAAGTTATACGTGGATTGGGTCGGCACCTCTAACCCCACATTTTTCATGACTTCATTGCTGTTCTGAAAAAATATATATTTTAATGTGTCCTATTGAGACAGGCACTTTTCCCAGAAAGTGCTGCAGGCTTTGTGCTCGAGGTTGACTCAGCAGTGGAAAGATCAAGAGAAGGCCTCTGAAAGTAGCTTCTCTACTTTTGCCACATGTTCCTTTTTCCTTTACTTAGGTAACCAGCTATTTGGAGATTATTTAAACTTTATTTTTCCAAACTGGCCACTGGCATGTATTTTGATATATCCCTTGCCTATTTTATCCTTTCTACCTATTTGATTTTTGAGGGTCTAGGCATTCAGGTTTTAAAATAATAGTAGCTACTTTTGAGTGCTGCTTCGGTACCTGGCACTGTGCTAAGAGCTTCTACGTGAAGTCTTCTCTCAATAAGTCTCTCCCTCGGCCTCCGCAAAGTAGGTGTCAGTCACAGCAGCATTGTCATTCCTGGTGTACACGAAGTCTATAGATACTGATAGGGTTTGAGTGGGAGGTCCAGCACTTCTGAGCCGCCTCTGGAAGTAAAATGGATGGGGAAACAAAATCCAGCCATTTTCCCAGATTAGAGGAACAGGTCTTTGGCTTATTTAATTTTTTTTTTAACAATTAACACAAATGTGAATTTTGTTTAAAACATCCTTATTTTGCTTTTCCCAGAGCTAGTCCAAGGAGGAAATAACCCCTAAGAAAACAGAAAGCTGCACATGAATACTGGAACATGGAGAATTTCGGGGAACAATTCTCGCCGATCTTTATTCCTGTCCCCCTGCGGAAGGAACTACTCATGGTATTGTCTTTGGAGCTGGGTCCAGTTTACAGAATTTTCACGCTGCCTTTTAAAATAATTTTTGTTGGTGATGGTGAATGTATGTACATAAACTGGGAAGGTGGGTAGGAATCTGGAAAAAATGGAAGTCCTAACTGTAGTGAGCACACCACAGTGGAGTGATCCTTATCTGTTTACAATCACATCACACTGAATATTTGGGGAACTAGAGAAGAGGGTAGAAAAGAAACTCTTATAAGTCACTGTGTATTCCTCAGTGGCCAGCTGTCCTTTAAGAGTAAAGGCTTTCTTTCCAATCAGCCCAAGAGAGTTTTAGTCCACTGCCCCCTAACTATTCAGTTTCTCAGTTCAGAGGCAGTCTCTCACGGCCTTCTAGAAGTTTCTGCCCAGAAGACAGCCTGCCCTCTTGTCTGGTGGCTCAGGTCTTAGACTGGGAGATCAGTGCCCTTCCTGGTTTGCCACCAGCTCTACCAGAGCTGTAAACCAATTTCTGGAATTGGGATCACTGGAGTATTTTCTTCTTAGAAGAGAAAATGATTTATCCTCTTCACAGGCCTGCTGGGACTGTGATCTGGAAGGCATCACACAAAGCTTTCTGGCACAAATCACATTTTGTGGAAGTGACTACTCAGGTTTGTATATGTTAGTATCAATAAAGAAATTGCACAGCTTTGAATAGGGAAAATGTATTCTATAGGTTTACAGTTGGAATTTAGGAATATTTCACTATATATAGTCCTTATTTTAAATGTAAAATAAGTCATGGTGGTTTAAAATAGCTATCAAGAACAAGTTTCGGGCAATCGTTTGTCATATATGTGATAGGAAACAATTTTACAGTATTAAATTACTTTATTACAGTTTTAGAAGTGAATTACACTGGATTCTCCCTGTTTAGCATTCTGTATTTGATTTTAGTTGAGATGCCACCAAAGTTAGGGCTTATATAAATATTTCACAAAGAAAGAACTAAGGAAAATGCCCTGAAATTAATAGATATTTTTAAAGAATAGCATATTTTTAAGCATGCCTTTGGAATAGTGGAAAAGCTACCGAGGTATATTAATCTGTCCTATTTACTTATAAATTCATCTGTGTGAAGTGCCAATAGAACCTTTCACTCCAATATCCTGATGAAATGTGAAACTGTCATTTAAAGTTTTCTAAACATATGCTATCCTTAGGAAAAGAAACAGATTGGAAACATTTATGTTATACAAATGGGCCCCAAGACACAGCTCCAGTATAAGGGAAATTCATACACATAAAGGCATTCTTGTTGACCTGGCAGTGTGGCTCATGGCTCAGGCATGACTGAATTGAGTAGAGAACACAGGTGTCTGCCTCTAAGATACAATGGACAACAATATGAATTTTTCTCTAACAGGCTTTAATTTTAAATTTGGTATGCTTTTAAGTGGAATGAGTTTGGAGGCTATGTTCTCATTCTATCTAATTTTTGTTAGAAACATATTGTGGGCATAATCTGGTTTAGAGAAATGCAGAGGTCAACATTCTCTGCAAGAAGAGTAGATTAGAAGGTTTGTGGGGAGATCTCCGCCAGCCCTTAAGCTAGTTAGTGTGGAAGGTAGCATGGTGGAAGTATTATTACTTCTGTTTCTGTGTATGTGCAAAAGCAGGAAGGAGAGGGAAAGACCAATTGGTCTTTAGAGCTAGCATAGGTCTGGCTAGACCTGGTCTTAGCCCAGAGCATTCTGTCACTGACAGCCTTTCTCTTTTTACATTAAAGCAGATTGGAGTGAGAGGCCTTTTCTCCTTCCTGAACTAGGAACACACTAACCATAGGCACTCTTCCTTGATGCTAATGCTGTAGGGATTGTTTTGTGCTGAACTCCCTGGAGCATGGATAGGAGAAGAGTGGAAGCAATAGTTGGCTGATAGGTACCCTTTCCTTCCGCCCTGGTTGCATTTGAGCAGCTGTGTACACACTGCTTAAGATAATTGTAATCCTTTCTTCTCACTCCCAGCCCTTTATCTATCCCCTATTGTTAGAAGCTGTGAAGAGTATAGGGAAAAAATCAGTAAATTCTTTTATCCTTAATCTTCCTTCTTGCTAATGTAGAGAGGTGAGGAAATAATTAAGGCAAATGATAGGAAATTGAACTACTGTATTATCACACTGTGAAAAGGAGCAACAGAAACATGTCAGCCTTGCTGCATCCTGTGTGGAAATTTGGTTGTGTGTTACAGGTACTTCTTCCCTGTCTGGTATATCCTGAGCTTTAACTGGCCTTTGAAGTGCAGATATTCTAGAAGCCATCAAGAGCTGTAGGATTATAGGAGTACCTATAATAAACTGCTATAGGCTGCTCATCCACACATTCCCCTAGCAGGCTCTTTTTTTCTGACCTTTTCTTTCTCCTCTGGCA